GACCCTGTCTCAAAAGAAAGAAAGAGAAAAATTTTTTTTACTTATTTTTATTTTATGTACCTGAATGTATGTTTGGGTAAGGCTATCAGAGCCTAGAGTTACAGGCAGTTGTGAGCTGGCATGTGAATGCTGGGATTTGAACCTGATCCTCTAGAAGAGTAATCAGTGCTCTTAACTGCTGAGCCATCTCTCCAGCCCTGAAAGAAAGAAGTTTTTTTTTTTAAATTAAAAAGCTTTTGGTGGGGCTGGAGAGATGGCTCAGAGGTTAAGAGCATTGCCTGCTCTTCCAAAGGTCCTGAGTTCAATTCCCAGCAACCACATGGTGGCTCACTACCATCTATAATGAGGTCTGGTGCCCTCTTCTGGCCTGCAGGCATACACACAGACAGAATTATGTATACATAATAAATAAATAAATATTTTCTTTTAAAAAAAAGCTTTTGGTGTAGTAGTATGTACCTACAATTCTAGTCCTGAGGAGTCTGAGGCAGGAGAATCAAAAGTTACAGGCCAACCTGAACTGTAGATTGAATCCCTACCTCTGGAAAAATAAAAAGCTGTCAGGGGCCGGAGGGATGGTTCTGTGGTTAAGAGCACTTACTGCTCTTGCAGAGGACCTGAGTCTGGTTCCTATCACCAATGGGATAGGCTCTCAACTGCCTGTAACTCCAGTTCAGAGGATCCAGTGCCCTCTTGTGGCCCCCACGGGCACATAAACACGCATGTACACACAAACGCACACACTGACACACACATACATGTAATTAAAAACAGTTTTTAAAGCTATTAGGTTCAGGGGCTGGAGAGATGGCTCAGTGGTTAAGAGCACTGACTGCTCTTCCAGAGGACCCGGGTTCAATTCCCAGCACCCACATAGCAGTTTACAACTGTCTGGAGATCCAGTTCCAGGGGATCTGACACCTTCACACCAATGCACATCAAATAACGTTAAATAAACCATAAAAAAAATATTTAAAAAAAAAAAAGCTGTTAGGTTCAGCGACACCATCAAGTATGCAGATACGCTCGGTCGCTTCATAGACGTGGGGACAGCAAAATGAGCACAGTTACTTTAACAAAGATGACTTTGTTAAATACTCTAATCCCGTTAAGGGTGTCCGCGGTGCCTTCTGGCGCCAGCAAAGAAACCAGCCACAGTGTGTGAGGTTTCTAGAAGCATTTCTCCAACCGCTACCATCGTCTTTTCCCTTTCAGGAGTACAACATGTATGGCTGGTGGGTAGGAGAGCTGAACAGCCTCGTTGGGATTGTTCCAAAGGACTACCTCACCGCCGCCTTTGAAACAGAAGAATGATGAAGCCCAGGTATCAGCATCGTCATCAGTTTCTGCCCTTGGTCGAGGGGAGTTTGTCAGCTATAACTTCACTTCTCTGTGACATCGTCAGTGAAGTAGCCTTTTCCTTCCTTTCCAAAAACGATGTTAATGATTCAGATGAAAGTGGGTGGGTGTGAACATACATCATATAAACGTATGATATTCTCAAAGATTAAAACATAGTAAATAAAGTTAAGAAGGAAAGAAAAAAAAAAGATGGAAAACTAGTGGATTAGAACAGTTGGTAGGCTGCTTATCTAGCATGCTTGGAGCCTGCCCTCATCCCCAGCCCCACATAACACCAGACGTGCTGGTACACACCTGTAACCCAGGAAGATCAGAAGTTCAAGGTCATCCTCAGCTACATAGCAAATTCTAAGTCATCCTGGGCTACATGAGACCCAGGGTCAGGGGAAGAGTGTGGAATTGTGGTTCCCTAAGTCTATGTCACTATGTCACTTAGCACTGGACTTAACTAAAGGTGGCAGAAAGTACCAATGACTTGATTGACAGAAATTCATTTTGCTCCTGTGTATAAATCTAGAAGGAAATGGTCAGAGGCACTCAAGTTCTTGGGAGCTTTGTGCCCCATGTGGAGGACCAGCATCTCCCAGGTTGACCGAGATGAATGCTTCAGCACCAGCTCTGGGTCTGAGCGGGAAAGATACAGGACAGCAGAAGGGTGCGCCCTCTGCAGAAGGGTGCGCCCTCTGCTGTTGAGGACACTTCATGAGCTTCGTGCACAGCACTTCCCCTCACAATCTTCCTCCAGCACAGTCTATCCCATTGTCTAAAAAGGGAGGAGAGGAGGCTGGAGGGCCAGCTCAGTGGTTAACAGCGAGCACTGCTCTTCCAGAGCCCCTGAACTTGAGTCCCAGCACCATCTTTCGTGTTCTAGCATGTTAGCTGGTACACAGCTGTTTCTAAAGAAGCCACAATATTCTGCTTGGTTTAAAAGGGAGGGGGACAGCCATAGAGATGGCTCAGCATACAAGAGCACTGACTACTACTCTTCCAAAGGATCAGGGGTCCATTCCCAGTACCCACATGGCAGCTCATAGCTCCAGTTCCGGGGGATTTGATGCCCTCTTCTGGCTTCTGTGAGCATTGCATGTGCTTGGTGCACAGATACAGGAGAAACACCCATACACATAAAATTCATTCTTTAAGAAGCTGGAAAGGCCTGGTGGTGGTGTACGACTTTAGTCCCAGTACTTGGGAGGCAGAGGCAGGTGGGTCTCTGTGAGTTCAAGGCCAGTGTGGTCTACAGAGCAAGTTCCAGGACAGCCAGGACTACACAAAGAAACCCTGTCTCAAAAAAAAGTTTTTTTTTGAATTCACTCAGTAACACAAGTCATTGAAGGAAAACAGCCAACATTGACCTCTGGCCTCCACATTCATACCCACATGTACATTAGTACTAGTACATGCATGTGCACACACCTACACTCACATACACATACACACCACACACCACACCCACAAAAAATTCAACCTTTTAAGAGGATTCCTAGGAATATAATCAAATTCATTTTTAATAACTACTGGGAGGCCGAGGCAGTAGGATTTTGAGTTCAAGACCAGCCTGGGATACATATCAAGACCCACTATATATATATATATATATATATATATATATATATATATATCCCTAAGTAATAAAGAATATGATTGAAGCTTTGTGAGGAAGAATATCATGCTGGGGTGTGTTTTGATTTTTTGATGGTGTGTGTGTGTGTTTGTGTCACTGGGAATTGAATCCACTGTACACCAGTCAAGGGCTCTGTCATTGATCAAGCCCCCATATGATGTGGGGGAGGGGTTGGGGGGGAGTTGAGACAGGGTTTCTCTGTAGCATTTGGAGCCTGTCCTGGAACTAGCTCTTGTAGACCAGGCTGGCCTCGAACTCACAGTGATCCGCCTGCCTCTGCCTCCCAAGTGCTGGGATTAAAGGCATGCGCCACCATATGATGTTTTTAAAGTATCGGGAATGCTTGGCTTGGTCAGGTAGCCATGGGAGCCGCTTTGATGGTCAGGGGGTTTAGACTTTAGAATGGTAAATGGGCAGTCAAGACTAGCTTGATGTCGCTAGCTCCATCTCCTGGCCAAAAATGGGATTAGCCTTTGCTGCAGGACGTGAAAAATGCAATCAGTGTGACAGCGAGGCAGTCTTCCCAACCGGGTCCCTCTCTGGCATGCAGTAGCTCATGGGTGAATTTGCTCAGGAACACACGTAAGACAGACCTTGCTCTCCAGTGCTCGCGTGCAATCTCAAAGCCCCAGCTCGGGGCTGTTGTCCAGGTTTGACTTTATGACTTCGCTAAGGAAGACTCTGTTTACTGATGGGGTGCAGGTGGGGTGGAATTTTTCTGCCAAATTAAAACTAATTCACCCCTTTTTTTTTTACTTTGTAGTCTATTTAAAGTGTAGCCCTTTGTGCCCTTTAACCCACTAGGACATCTAGGAATTTATCCCACCAGCCTCCTTGCATGCATGCCCAACGGGAAGAAATAAGCTTGGGTGTTTGTATGGGAAAGGACTGGAGATGAGCTCAGTGTCCTAGTGTGCAAGGCAAGAAACTGTGGGGCATTCGTGGGTTCGAATACTACCCAGCAGTAGAAACAAAAGGGAGGCTGTTGCCAAATAAGTTTCAGGATAGATCGGTAAGCACAAAAAGCAGCAACGGAGGGCAGGCCAACCATGCATGCCCTCCTTGTAGAAAAGGGGAGTAGAGAGCTGTTGTTTGTGGTGCATACCTAGAACCCCAGAACTCAGGAGGATTTCCATGGCTTCTAAACCAGCCCGAGATACACATTGAGTAACAGAGTGAAACCCTATCTCAAAGGCCATGCGGTCACTATTTGTTTATATGTATATGCAATACTTACGGAAGGAGAAGGAACAATGATGTCAGTTACCTCTGAGGACAGAAAAACTACATAACTAAGAGACAAGGTAACAGGAAAAAATGTTACTCCCACTTGTAATTCTATCTTTTAAATTTTCATTTTTGTTATTTTTATAATTATGGGGGTTGTAGACATGGGTATAGGTACCCATGGAGGCCAAAAGGGGGCACTGGATCCCATTAAAGTGGAGTGGTGGCTGACTGTAAGTGCTGGGAACCGAACCCGGGTCTTCTGAAAGACCAGCAAGCGCTCTTGACCACCAAGCCATCTCTGCAGACTTCTCTCCACTCCCATTTTTTGAGACATCATTTTTTAAAATATTTATTTATTTATTATGTATACAATATTCTGTCTGTGTGTCTGCCTGCAGGCCAGAAGAGGGCATCAGATCTTATTTCAGATGGTTGTGAGTAACCATGTGGTTGCTGGGAATTGAACCCAGGACCTTTGGAAGAGCAGGCAATGCTCTTAACCTCTGAACCATCTCTCCAGCCCTTGAGACATCATCTTATAGATCCTAAATGACCTCAGATTTGCTCTGTAACCAGGATGACACTGGACTTCTGATCCCCTGCCTCCACCTCTTGGGTCCGGGGTGACAGGTGGGCACTACCATACCCAGTTCATGCTGTGCTGGTGGCTGCATCCAGGACTTCGTGTGTACGAGGCCAGCACTCTACCAGCGGCAGAGCTGCCCCGTACCCATATTTCTGCATTCTGAATCACAAAAGAAAATTCACCTTTTCCATCTTTCAGGGAACACACCCTTCTCTCCATCCTGCCTTCCTGAAGAAACATACCACCGGGAATTCCCATCCTCTACTCGGCTATGGATTCTTCTCTTCGCTGAACAGACCCAAAACCCTGCTACTTTACGTGACTTTAAACCGCCAATAAAGCAAGCAGGAAGAGGACAGTCCGCCAGGTCTGTTCCTGAAAGCAGCCGGCTCCTAGCTTATTGCCCTCTGTAAGCCTTGTCCACACACCATCTCTACCTTCTCTACAAGACTGCAACAAAGAAGGCAACACTGGTGGCTCCCAAAGTACAAATAAAGTTTAGATGTTTCTTTTCCTTGTGTGGTGGGGCTGAATTCCTCTCTGACAGTAGCAAGGGCTGGCAAGATGGTTCTGTAGGTAAGGGCACCTGCTGTCAAAGCTGATGGGAGACCTGAGTTTGGTCCCCAGGACTCACATGGTGGAAGGAGAGAACCCATTCCCACAAGTTGTCTTCTGACCTGCACACGTGTACCGTGGCACATGTATACCCGCACATGAATAAATAACAAGTAAATGCTAAGAAACTGTTTTGACTTGAATCCCAGCACTTAGGAGGCAGAGGCAGGTGAATCTTTTCTTTGTTTGTTTTTGCTCTGTTTTGGGTGGGTTTTTTTTTATTTTGTTTTGTTTTGTTTTCTGAGCCAGGGTTCCTAGCCATCCCGGAACTGCAAGCTGGTCTCTAAGATCCGCCTGCTTCTGCCTCCTGAGTGCTGGGATTAAAGACACATGCCACTACCACCTGGCCAAAGCAGGTGGTTCTTAATGAGTTCAGTCCCATCCTGGTCTACAAAATGAGTTCCAGAGCAGGCAGAACTATTACTCAGAGAAACCCTATCTTGAAAAAAAAAAAAAAGCACACAAAGAAAGAATGAATGAAATTGTTTTTATTTATTTATTATGTGCATTGGTGTTTTATCATGGGTGTTGGGTCCCCTGGAACTGGAATTACAGACAGCTGTGAGCTGCCATGTGGGTGCTAGGAATTGAACCCAGGCCCTCTGGAAGAACAATCATTGCTCTTAACCACAGAGCCATCTCTCCATCTCCAAACTTGCTTTAATTGTATCAAAATGTCACTGCTGGGCATTCTTACAATCTGCAAAGTGGGAAGGGACAGTTAGAAAAGCCTAGCCAGGGAAGGAGGCTTGTGGCTCTTTCCAGACAGTCACCTCTGGACCCCAGGACTGCTAGTGTCCAGTCAGTTCCTCAGGCTTCCTTCGGTTGGCTACTTGGTTGCTTTTTCTAAAGTGGTGAATCTCTGAGAGAGACCGAAGCAAGGCCTGGGAATCAGCACGTTCGAGACTGCCTCTGTGAGCCCCCGGCCTGCAGTGTGGAGTCCCACGTGGGCTGAGGAAGCGCTTTCCAAGGGGCTCTATGATACAGGGCTCCCTGGTCCCTTTTCAGTCGCCGGCACGCAGTTCTGCACATTGAAGAGGCAACAAGTGGTTAGGAGCACAAATCCTGGAACCAGAGAACCCAGGAGTACATCGTTTTCCAGTTTGGGATGTGTTGGTAATGGTGCCTCCGTTTCTTCTATGAAGAAGGGGGTGGGCTCTATCTCAGCAGATCACTGGGTAATTAGGAAGATGAAAGGGTTTGTCAAGTTCTGTGTACTTGGAGAAGGACCTGGCATGTGGTAACTGCTCAGTAAGGAATAGCTCTTATTGCCAGACTCTACGTGTGAAATTTTGCAAGACAGGCACCTGAGCAGCTATAGAAATTTTATAACAAAACTGCCTATTCGGAGCAGCCCTGGATTGGCAGAAGCCACCTCTGTCAGGACCATAGTGTAAGTAAATTTGCATCTCACATCAACACAGGAGAGAAAGAAACCAGACAGCAAGCAGGGATGTTGGTAGATTCCAAGTTTCTCAAAGCGGGGGGCGGGGGACGACTTATGATAATTACTCATTTCCAGACACAAAAATAAAAAATGGAAACAATTCTTTGTATGATGGCTAGAGCGGTGAGAGAAATGGGACAATTTGGAGTCTGCGGTGGGGGTTGTTGATAGAGAAGTATCTATGACATCTCCCTATTACCCAGGGTGCTAAAGGGGAGGGAACCACTAGGTGGCAGCACATGAGCAGGTGAACCAAAGAAGCAATTGCCTACTGCTTTAGGGCCCTCCTTTGCACCAATCCCAACCCATAGGTAAGAACAATGGGCATTGTGTAGTGTTTAACACAAACCCTTCTACGCCTACTCATCCTTCCTTGGAAAGCCCCCGCCCCCAAGTCCCAGTCCAAAAGACGAGCTGGCAAGAGCATGACCCTTTGAGTCAGACACTAGAAAGGGGGATCCCAGAAGAGAAAGAGCAAGTATCTGGGGCAGGGTGGAAAAGGGGTTGAAAAAGGCAAGAGGACAAGGTAACTTCATCACTCCCTGCACTGGCCAATGCTCTTAACAGCACAACCATTGCTTCCAACATTGAAAACAATCCCTTGGTAAGGTGATCTCTTCTGCACCTGTAGACCTAAAGAAACCAAACTGCAAATGTCTCCCAAACTTATGCACTCCACAGGTAAGGTACCATACTCAGACCTCTGGCCTTTCTAGCTGTAAAGCTTGGGGAAATGAAAGAAGGAAGGAAGGAGAGAAAGAGAGAGAAAGAGAGAGAGAGAGAGAGAGAGAGAGAGAGAGAGGAGATTATTCCTAAAATATATAAACCAACAGGGGTCTTGGAACTCTGTCCTCGGCAAGGAGTAGTGTACACGCCTAGAATCCCAACACTCTGGAGACAGAGGCAGGAGATCATCACAAAGTTAGAGGCCATCTTGTTCTTGGGCCAGTCAGGGCTACACAGCCAGACCCTTTCTGGAGGGAGAAAATCTCTGTCCTGACCCTGTTATATAGAGAAAGGGTCTGAGGGACCTGACGATACTTTCCACAGGAGGCTGAAGGGCACTTGTGGTTTCATGGCGGGAGGGAGTCCTAGAGGAGACTGCTCTACTTTTGGGGGTTTTGTTTTGTTATCCAGCGAGGGCTGGGGGCAGGGGCGTCGTCATTGTTTTGTTTCTATGGGTTTATTTTTTTTTTCCCCAGAGAAAACTTAGAACTCTTAAGGAAAAGGGGGGGACAGACTCTCAAGAGTAAGCAGGAGACCCAAGTTCCTACAGCTGGTTGAAAACTAAACCTCACAGACAGAGGACTCCATCAACAGCCAAGGTCTCAGCGGACACCCTCAGATGGCAGCTGCCCAATCAGATTCTTGTTTGTGTTTGGTTTGCACTAACTAACCCCCACCTCGCTGCCTGCCACTAACTGGATGCCGGGGACTTTAGACCCACTGAATTAGTGGTATTACACGTAGGATGGCGTCTTAACGGCATTAGTTGTTCTGGTGAGTGAAGCAGGAGAGGAACAGAAGTGAAAGAGTTGTCTTTCCTTAAGAGAAATAAACCGGGTCGTGGGGGCGCACGCCTTTAATCCCAGCACTCGAGAGACAGAGGCAGGCAGATCTCTGTGAGTTCGAGGCCAGCCTGATCTACAGAGAGAGAGTTCCAGGATAGCCAGGGCTACACAGAGGAACCCTGTCCCATCCCAGTTGTATGTAATCCTCCCCTGGCCCAAGCTGCTCCCCTGACTCAAGCTCCCTCCACCACCACCAGCCCCCCCCTCCAGCTGCCAGGAACGTTCTGGAAGGATGGATCTTGAGTGGCATGAATTTGCTAACTCCCAGAACAGCAGTGAAATCTGGGGGCTGACTTGGGGAAAATCGGCCTCTACACAGAGCCCATCACGCTGCACGGCCCAGTGACTCAAACTCATTTTCTAGTGCACAGATGGTCACACCTCACTCCTCCAGCCAGTTCCCAGTGGAGTCTGCAAAGACTGGGTGGGGGAGTTTGAAACGCACCAAAAAAAAAAAAAATTCTATTTTTTTTTCAAGGGATTTGAATTGTTTGCCCCACTTCCCTATCAAAAAATGGGTGGGGAAACACGCTGTTATAAATTGATAATCATTCTTTGAGATTACATCAAAATGACTCTTTTTCATCTTAAGCCTGTATTTATCGGGGGAAAGGGCGTGGGGTCACAGAGCACGTGCGGAGGTCAGAGGACGCCTCACTGGAGTTTGTCCGCTCTTTCCACCGTCTCCCATTCATCTGCACAGGCCGAGTTATTTCACGTTAGGACATCTCACTGGCCCTGGATGTTAAGCCAGATCCCTTTGGTAAAATTTTTTTAAAAAAATAAATATAATGGAGGAAAAACACTGTTAGGAGAAACATGTAGAGTGGCCTTATATTTTCATACTTGAGACACTTTTCTGGTGTTCTGGAGATGGTCTCACTGAGAAGCCCTGCTGACCTCAAACTTGAGATCCTCCTGCCTCTGCCTCCCAAGTGCTGGAATTACAAGCATGGACCACGTTGCCTCACCCCTCTCTTCTGAGACAGCATCTAAGTTGCCCAAGCTGGCCTTGAACTTATGATCCTTCTGGTTCTGCTTCCAGAACAGCTGGGTTACACATGTATACCACCATGCCCAGGCCCAGACCAAGACGCTTTTGAAAATGAAGGGGGGGTGTTGTTTTCTGGGATGCATGTGCACACTAAAAGTAAGGGAAATGAGCTGAGGAGCCAGGCAGTAGAGAGATGACCCAGCTCTCCTGGCACGAGGCCTGGCTATGTCCCTTCTAATGAAGTCCTTTCTCCTGCAGGCCTGGCTTCTCAGTAAACCTGCCAGCTAGGCTTCCTTTCCCGGATGCCCAGGCTTCCAGAGAGCCTAGTGTCTCTGGCATGGAGCTGTGGTGAAGCTGGCCCACAGTCAGCAGCTGTGTGTTCTGTTCCCTCCTGGGGTCCCGTCACGATCCTCCACATTTCCACCTGGCCACGTGCCACTGATAGAGAACATTTTGTGGCACCGGGCAACAGTATGACACTTCCTTCGCCTCCTGTGACCGGAGCTCGTTCCAAGTTTCTAGTGCTGGTCCTCCAAGAGGGCATCCGCCCGCTAGTGCAGACGCTCTCCACCTGATGCTGAGCAGCTGGCCATCCTGGATCACAAAAACGGGCCGCGAACATTTCCCTTTCACCCACCGGCCACTTGGCCTCACTGTACTGAGTTCCAAGGTAGTTCACACACACCATTGCTCCCAGGACTGGCACCCTCTAGGAAGGCATCTGGCGTTTGGACACTTGATGTCACATCTTCAGCATCTCTAAGTTTACCGTGGCAGAGTGATGTTTCTCAGCCTCAGCATGTTGGTCCGGAAAATTTTGCTTTGTTGAGCCTGGTCTCGTGTAATGCAGGCTGATGTCAAACTCCCTGTGTTGCTGACAATGCCCT